ATACATTTTGCACTTATAAAAATATATATTTATATCACTACTTATATCCCAGGTAGCACATGTTCGTTTCATATACGTTTCCTAAATGTATCTAATGTTTCTTAACCGTTAAGCATCAATAATAGCGTTTTTCACTGAGCCGCACTGAGTGCGCACCGAAAACTTGTTCAGTAGCAGCAGCACTGTACGAGGTTGCCGAAAGTGCGAGTTTTTTGCACTCCCAACTAAACAATAAACTACATGTGTCAAGTGCCAAAAAGTGCAATATTTCTGGATTTACGAAAAATGATGGAACAATCAGAGAAATTAAACATTTGCTTTAAAGTCAATAATGACATGCTGTCATTAAAACTTCAATCAAGTGAAATAGACTTATTCAATAAATTGATAATGTGTCAAAAATGATATGTCCAATTCAGCAGAGGTAGATTTATTACCTCCGTGAGTTCTACCAGACAGATAGAATTGTGAAATTCTAAATATCAATTATTATCGCGTAAATATCAGTTATTTTATAAGCTGTTGCTCTTGCAACACGAAAATGACTTTTGAACTGTAACAATAATATATAATTATTTGTAGCACTTATATACAACACATGTATATATTTTTTCACATAATACAATACCAATACAGTACAATAAACAATACCTGTACAGCAACAATTAAATTATTAATAAATAATAAATATATAATCACGACTTACGTCCTTATCCGTAAGATTATATACAACATTAATAAAATTTTTGATTTTTGGAATTTTTTGTGGATTTTCTTTTGTTATTTTATCTTCATCACTGCTAGATGATGAAGAAGATAGCAAATCTAGCAATTGAAGAGCATTAAAAATATCGCGCGCTGCCATCTTGCACTCAATAGAGTTCCTATAAGTAGAGTTAAGACACCGGGCAAATCGAGCTATGATTGGTTGTTTCTTTGGCTATTACATATGGCGGAAATCTATAGTTCATGTGACATATATTATAGATTTTCAAGCACGTGTACATGTATTGTACATACACGCGATGGATGAAAATCTATATAATAATTATCTGACAATTGTATTTCTAAAAATGTTTAGAACAATATATATAATAACCATATATTATCTAGAATTAAATATAAAAAAATAATTTTCTTTAAAAAGTTAATTTTATTTTAAAAGATTTGTATGTACAATTTAAAAATTGAAAAATATTAGTCTTTACAAAAATTGATGATTTTTATAATTGATGACCGAATATTTTCATTTGCAGTTCGAAAATGAGTAAACTGCAGG